CCGTAGGTATATCAATTGCTTCATTTGAAAGATACTTAAGAGATCACACGACTCATTTAGCAATGTACCGGAAAACTTTTCATCCTGTGGAACAGCGTGGATTCTTGGCTCTCCTATAACAGGAAACGCACTTCTGTGCTCTTGAGTTTCCCTATAAGAATTTGTATTGGCATACGCATCGCACCAATGTTGTAGTTGCAAGATCATACAAAAAGATTACGCGTGCCTGGCAGAGATCTCACAGGTGGAAATAAGACCATCGGTAAAGCTCATGACACCGAAAGGGATTGGTATTCCATATGGTATCACAGTGTTACTATTATTGGCCTATGTGTGAGGAGGATACTGCACCTTAGTGGTTTCAACTTAAATCAAAAATTTTGACTTTACCGACTAATTTTGTTTTTCAACGCTCTTTTGCATTGACCAACGCAAAAGCTCATATTAGGCGCCGCGAAGTAAGCGGGCATTGGCTAGTACTATATAAAAAAGAGAAGTAAAATTAGCCAACCTATTAGGTGTGTGGCTCTATCGCCGCCTTCAAAACGGCTCTTCAGTTCGCGTCTCTCATGGGACACATTCCACACATGTGAATCGTGGCACGCGCCTCCAAAGCGAGCATCAACTGCCCTTTCAATCATTCTGTGATCACATATCTGCAATAGTTCAATCATATGGTCATATATACATATTTGCATAAGTGTTTCAACCATGGTATTTACACTGGGCTTCAGTTTCCTATTGAAATACAGTAGGCCGCACCCTTTGAATTTGCGTTCCCTCTATCGCCCCAATTGTTGCAGGAATACCAAATTTTTCACAGAAATACCTCTTCGCGTCCCTTTCGTCTGCCACAGTCATTTTAAACGTTATGTGTTTTGGACAGAGAGTTTTTTCGATGGCTCTGCACACTTCGTTTAGACAAGTCGACATAGACTGTTGAGCCAAACCAACATGATGATCATTGCCAATTTGATGCTCATAACCTCCTTGGGCTAAAAACTTTAGTGCAGCTGATAATTTACACATTCCCGAAATTCCTATGCCCTAAGTTCGGGCGAGATTTCGTTCAACACGTACATAAAGACCTCTTTGCTTAGTCGAAAATTTTGTACAAAACTTGTGATTTTACTAATTAATCAAGGCAGTGGCACATTTTGGGCACATTTTACTCACCTTTTTTTTTTGCTAAGCCCCTTTACATTACTTTGGTCTGTAAGAATTCTTCGCTCAATTCTTTCATCTCTACGAAGTTACTCTAGCCACAATGCTACGGAGTCCATTTTTAACTCACTTTAATTAAAATAAATGCGTGCCAAATTTATATTTGTTTAGTATTTGCCTGTGTGTGTTGTTTATCTTTCAACAGATGTTTATCTATTTTTGACGTTTTCCTGTAGTGTTGCTTCTTTTTACAAAAATAATTCGAACGGCAATGCGAACGCGATACAGAGTGCCATTTTTCTTCAGGTCATCCTTTCCAAACGCAGATGGTCAAAAAGAAAAGAAAAACACTGCTAACAACCCTAATTCGTTAAAGCAATGTGTACCAATAGAAATTTCCACCAAGTCAACCTCAGATTTATAAATTAAAAGTATGCAACCAATTCGCTTTCTATATGTATGTATGTATATGTTTATTAACACCGGTTAAAAATATATAAAAAGTGCTTATTTCAAAAATATGATGTAGATATGCATATGTATTTGAATTATTGCTCGCCAACCATATGTATGTAGGTATTGGTTGCGTTCATAAGACGTAGCTGTTTAGTTCATCTGTTACGAAACTGCTGGCAACTGTTGAACCTAACAATTACGTCTTAGAAACGGCTTGATGAATATGCTGCCAAATAAACAGCTGATAAATGTAAACAAATGAAATTGCAACAAATAGAGATAGTTGCGCCGATACTATTTAGAATTCAACGCTGAGCGGCCGCAGTGTTGAAAAAATCGTTCAATGTTACAGTGAATTAAACAGTGTAAAATTATATAGCAAACATCTTAAAAACATATATTTAGAAACTTGGTATTATTATTAAATATTTCAGCTACTTTATCACGTCAGTAATATAAAATATAATAAATTTGTTTGCAACTGCCACCTAACAAAGCGGCGTTAAATTTAATATAAACGGCGTAAGTCTTTTCGATCAGCTGTTTAGGCTACGCCCAACACGTTGAGTTCAGGTAGCGTAAAAATTTTCCGCTAGAAATAATGGCGGAAAGTTGCCAACTGTTGGGCTGAGCGTGACTACTCAACTGTGCGTTTCTAAGACAAACAGCCAACGGTTACCCAACAGCTACGACTTATGAACGCGCCCATTGTTGAAAAATGTGAACGCGAGTATGGTATTTTATTTCTCGAAATTATAAAGAGCGCCTTTATTTCTTATATATTTATAGGCATATGTATGTGCATGTGTGAATAACTCAAAACGTGAAAGTGATTTTGTGAATTTGATTTGCTGAAGATATAACTTCTAAGCTAGCGCAAGTGCCGTGAAAAGTTAGGTTATGTGAACCGAATAAAAGGTGCAGTGTTGTTGTTAGTGCATTAACACAAAATGCAAGCAACGAACGAATGAAAATGACTATGCGGAATTTTTCTTTATGTGAATTAATTACTTCGCTATTAATCAACGAAATTAATATTGTTGCAAGTTGTTTCCCGCTTATTTGAAGTACACTACAACTTTTCGAAATGGCCGTAGCGCGCACTTCGTATATATGTTTGTGTGTGTGCTAACAAGCAAACGAAATATTTTAACGCACTTAAGTCTCTTTACTTCACAAAATCACTCGCGTTGTTTAGATTTACACAATTTATAGCTTTCTGGAGCGAATTTTTCACAAAAAATACAGTGCAGTGAAATTTTTAACCACGTACCTTTAAAACTTTTTTTTTC